TACCACGTGCCCTTAATGCATAACCAATTGAAAGAAAGAATTGACAATTTAGAGGTGAAATAGGATGTTGTATGATGATTTGGCTTTTGTCTAGTGACTTAGGTTATAAACCACATAACTAACCTTCTGTCAACTACACCATGTATTCGTGTCAGGTACAATATGTACCTTACATTATTAGTTTAGAAAAATGTTGTTAAATGTTTTCGTGTTCGTGTAAGTGTTAAGTGTGTGTGACAATTGTTCACAAAACCCCGGGTATGAATAGAATTTTCCCAATTCACTAGACTATTCAGCTTGAAAATAATCCTTCACGTTCGAAAACTTGGTCATTCGAAACGGATCTTTGAAAGTACAACAGGTATTCAAAATTTGTATTTGTAATGGGCGAAGAGGTTTTTTCAACTACTACTAAGTTCAAAACCACGGTCACTAGGCGGAATATGGATTATTGGCATTTCAATTTAACCTTTGTATTTGTAGAAAAATGTTATCCATAGGAATTTTGTGTTTATATTGTAGTTTGATATGTTTCTAGCCACAAACTTTCACTCGGGTCGAAACTAAATTATCTAACAAACTAACGGAGAGTCTCCTCCAAATTGGAATATACACAAACACCTTGGTAAGCATCCAACAAACTTGTTGAAAGCTAGCCTGATATCTTTACAAGTATTTTAAGTACAATAGTCAATAGTCAATAGTAGTAAGTCAATAGTTGATTGAGTGATTTTGATTGGCTATTTATTTCAGTAATGATCAGTCGTCTAATAGCTTTCTACTTCTGTCACTTTCGCACGACGTGGGTTGCGGTCGGATCGTTACGTCACCATTGACCCTGGAAGGACTTCCTGACTCTAGGCAGGACATGTGTATGGTATAGTGATGTCCTCCGTCGAGGTGCTTTCTCCAGAGGATCTTTGTTGGCAAAACGCCGAGCCTTCCATCGGCATCGACGTCAAGAAAAGTGGTTAAAGGAAATTATTTATATCGGAAAATACATTTGGTTTATGATTGTTGTCACTGAACTGTTGTGGTTAATATTATATTATTACCAATTGAAACGGAGACGCCACCTAGGTGCGTATTTTTACCCAAATATGAGTGAAGGACGAGTGCAGAATGATGTGCGATGATCTGTGTAGCTTTGTTATTGACTAGTATCAGCTGTTAGGCCTCTCGCCCACTATACGATATCGGTCGTACGACACTGTGTCGTACGATATTCTTATCGTATGTGTGGTCCTCGCCCACTTTACGACACTTTGTCGGATAAATGACCAGTTGCTCGGTAGCCCTGGAAGAGTGAGGTGTGGGTGTGTTGCGCAATATCTTAAAACAGTGGTTCTGTATCAAATAGTAAAACAATGATTCCGTTACGTGTTGTTGCAATGTGGTACTGTGGCGCAGATTAAGCGATAGTGGCCAATGTAGGCCTACAGCATTAAAGAAACATTTATTTTTAGGTGTAAATTATTTTTTTATGTTAATGTATTTAAAGACATTTTCAAATTATATTAGTCCATGCCTTTTACAAGTTTTTAAATTTACCATAACTATCATAGGGTTTTGGGATATTCTGGTAAAAAGTCTGTATGTTAAATTTTTTTGGATTAGTTTTTAAATATTAATGATTTAATTTTATTAATATAATCTACAAAAAATTATATTTATAGGTTTTAGTGGAACTTTTTTTACACAATATAATTAATAATTAAGATAATTAAGAATAAATAATAGCCAAACTCGCATTTTTTCAATAATAATTTTGGTATATTTACTCATAAGTGATGCAGTATTTAAACATAATATAAAGAAAAATATGAACAAATTGTAAAAAATAAATAGGAAGATCAAAATTACGCAAAATAATGGTTGAAAAATAAAACCAAGTGATATATCAAACATTATAGGCTAATAAAAAAGTATGAATGAATTGAAAAAAATATTTATTCACGATAAGAAATACGCAAAGTGATATAACAACTATAATAATGACGAAGTATGAGTTAATTGTAAAAAGTATATATAGGACTACTGGGGAGAACGCACGACACACGATAAAAATCGTATAGTGGGCGAGCGCCCATTCGATCGTGTACGCCACTGCGAGTAAAACAGTCGTACGACAGTCGTGTATCACAGTGGCAGTGGACGACTGCTTCACGACAGTTTGTCGTAGTCGTGAGATTATCGTACAGTGGGCGAGCTCTCATAAGATCCCATGGTTCACTGTGGAAATGTTGTCGTTCCGACACAGTGTCGTACGACCGAAATCGTATAGTGGGCGAGGGGCCTTAGCTGTCAGCCATTAGCCAAAATAATTTATTTATATCCCAATGATCAGGAACCATTTCCAGGTTCAAACCATCAAAAAGCTACTGACTTTTATTCTCGGGGATGAACCTGTGACCTTTTGGTTGTCAGTCGGGCACTTCAATCACTCAGCTATATAGGAGTTAGCGTACGCGATTGTTCTTGTATTGTAAAGTATAAATTTATAATATTACAAAAATGAATGGCAACTTTCTATAACCAAGTGGTTAGAAGACGTGTAGGCATATCGTAAACTGTTTCAACATTGGGAATAACCGTTTGAGAAAAGATAGATTCTTGCATTTTTAAAAAAGTTTTTTCATAACTTAAGCACATTTCACAGTTTTTAAACATAAGACTACTAACACATTAGCATTAACGAAAGAGAGGATATCTTTTTATTTCATGGCTATAAATTATGTGCACGGCTTGTAAATAATTAGTAGGTAAAATATTTATCACTGATTGATTTATATCTTAACTAAGAAATCAAATGTGTATGCAGATGTTGTAAGTTAAAACATCATATATCTTTTTTACTTTTTTTTACTCATATGCATCCTAAAACTATGCGTCTAAAGGTAAAACCCCATTAATTCAATTTACGGGTACTAGCGACCCGGAGTTGTTATAAGTTAATATAACGACTTGGTGCACGGTTGTTGTACATTATAACGATGGGACTTGCAATTGTTTAAACAAAATCAGCAAGATCAGCATGACTTTTATAGTTAACTCTGATTGTGAACAAATATTTTCATTTAATATTTAATGTCCCCTATATATGAAAAGAATTTACTTGCCGTTATAAAAAGAGTCCATAAAAAGTAACGTAAAAAAAAATTACTCAAATACATAGTTAGTAAAAAAATACTGTAACTGTAAAAACGAGTTGGGGATCAGAATGGTCACCTTGAGATGCAATTTTGTGTTGATGGTGACTAGAGTCGTTGAAGCTCCCACAGCCTGAGGTAAACACTTGACATGGAAGTCAACATTACAGTCCCAACAAAAATACGTTGTTAGTTTCGAAAACAACTATATTTTGTCGTCTCGACTCAAAATATATCTATAGGGTTTGTTTATTTTGTCAAATTAAACAATCTATCAGTATTTTTATAGCCTTAAGACAGTAGTTAATGTTATATAGGTCAATATTACAGTCCCAACAAAAAATACGTCAATAGTAAAAAAAACACATTTTGTCGTTTCACCTCAAAATATAACCATCTTGTTCATTTATTTAGTCAAACTGGCCAATCTTTTATCGGTATTTTATAGCCTTAAGACAGTAAACGGTTATTAGTTTGTTTGTATTTTAACGATTTCAACTATGGAGGTATACGAGTACATTGAATGGTAACAATGAAATATTACGATGTATTTTTTTTCAGATTATATGAAATTATGACTAATTTACCATAGTTAATTTGTTTAGTTATTAAAAAAAACTTATTATTTCATGCATAAGGTTGCCTATGCTGAATTGTAAATCGAATGAATTGTCAACTCAAATTTCAGTGGTTCATTTGCTATTAACCTTAAACAAACATGCCTGCAAACCAAGCAGTATTTGATATATTAAAGTAAAAAAAAAATAAAGAAGGTTAACATGAATCCATTATTTGAAGAGACTAGAACCTGAAGAAGTCAGCCCACCCTTGTTCTTAATCTGATGGTTAAATCACATTTATACTCGTAAGGAATATTTGATGTATTCAATTTGTATTCATAAAAATCAGATAGGTTTAAACTAGGGGTATCTCTAGACATACTCATTCTCAAAATCAATTTCCATAGTGAACTGGAGCTGGAGCGAGGGGGTGCTAGGAATACTTTTGAGTAAAAAACGGTGGTTTAACCGGTCTTGTAGGTCGCAATTTATTTATTTCCCTAGGATTCCAAAAGTATCGGCATTAGGGTTAAATTAGGATTTAGCCTCTTTTAGCGAATTTCCCATATAGGGAATAAGCTATTACCGTAGGTCTCATAATAAGACATGGACCCGGGGCTGATTTACATGATCGTTTTGAGGTCCCGAGAGGTTAAACCCCATCCGTTCAAATTCATACGAACATATTATATATGTGTCCGTTAGTGTGATAACTCGAGCAAAAATGATAAGATTTTGACAAAATTTGGTACAATCGTGTTAACCTACTTTTAATCGAACGAGTTCGCAAACCAGCATGATCGGACTATATTAACGGAGGCTTATGTGGTAAAAATTAGTTTTGCCTATATTTGACCCTACTAACATACAACATTACATTTTTTCAAGCCATTTTAAAGAGCTTACAAGAAAACAAATAATATAGTATATAGAAGCGTTGTACTATGCCTAACAGTTAGGGGGATAGTTCAAAAAGATTTAACATTTTGAAACTCCATGTTATTTTTATGGAGAGTAAATTAACTCTTGTAGTTTGTTCGTTTATAATATTTCCATTAAATTTGGCAGTTTTATTATTTAACACCAAGTTTTCAGAATTTCAATAAAAAACTCACCCAATTACCTTCCCTGTACCAGCATACCTATTTGATCATTAAAATTAATGTAATTTAATTAGTAAATAGATCTGGAAGTTTTAAGGGATTATTTTAATAGAAATCCAGTCAGGGAATTTGGAATTCGATTAGTCTGCAGGTTTGCTGCGGCGGTGGTATTATTTTAGTGGCTTTACCTTATCATGGCGAGTATGTTGACCTCCTCTCGACTGAGAGAGTTGCTGGGTCTCGCCGCCAGAGCGCATACCAGCTTACGAGCACATCCCAGAGGGTCTTGATGTAGCGCCGCCTCTAGGCTCGGTATCTCATTCACTCGTTCTTCCAGCATCGCCTGAAAGACAGTATAAGATTAGAGACCTTGGAGGCTAGCAGCCATCTATGATAATTTCAAACAGCTACCGGTACTGAAAAGTTAATTATCATCCAAAAATATTTTTTCTAAAGTGACTATAATTTAAATAGGTGGGACACTGTGAAAATAGACATTTTCTTGGTAGTTTTGAATTTTTTTTTAAGGAAGCCCATGGAAGCCAACGACCATCTTGGGTTTGAGTGCAATAAGAGCAATGATAGCTTCATTAATTTCAAATAGCCGCTGAGTTATTTACCATATCAAAAATATTTTATTCAAATGCCAACGTGATTGTATTTTAAATATCTAGTGTACTGTGAAATTAGACATTTTCTTTGTAGTTTTTTAATTGTTTTATGAGTCAGAACGTCTAGGCTGCATGGACTCTTAAGTTAAATTCAAACACTTACATAGCTTTGAAGCAAGTAAATCCCATTCTCCCCAAGAACCATCAGCAAACACTAGAGGTTTTATGAAAATCTCATGCAAGATATTAGTAATAATGATAAAATACCCCCACCGCAGCAAACCTGCCGACAAAGCGAATTTCCATTTGTCTGAATTGATTTTCAGTTAATTATATTTTAATAACATTATGTTTAACGAGTACCTAGGTTTGCTGCTACAAGGAAACTAATAAAGTGTGTTTTTGAGTAAAATATTGATAGCTTAGTACAAAATAAATAAATTTGCAAAGTTTTATCAAAATATATCCATAAACAAGCAAAATACAACATTTGACAATATTCTCCATAAGAATAACATGGGAATTTTAAATTTACAATTTTTTTAATTTTCTCCGTTACTAATAATCGAACAAAAATACTTTTATATACTTAATTATTTGTTTTTTTAAGGTCTTTAAAAAGGTCTAAAGAGAAATCGGAAAATTTTGTGTTTTTAGGGTCAAAAGTGAGAAAAACCAATTTTTACCCCATAAAACCCCCCGTAAAGCCCCGTTCCCATGGTCCGATCGTGCTGTTTCGCGAACTCATTCAAGTTTATCCCGCATTACACCTTTAAACCAAATTTCATCAAAATCGGACAAAAGTTACTCAAGTTATCGCGTTCACGGACGTATATATATATATATATGTATATATATGTATATATATATAAGTTTATATATATATACATATATAAAAATTTGAACGAATGGTGTTTTTGGCCTCTGGGGACATCAAAATAAAAAAGTAAATCGGTCCCGGGTCTAGGTCTCACCGTGCCACCTACGGTAATAGCTACTTCCCTTTAGGGAAACTCGTCAATAATACCCTGAAATCTCAAAATACCCCCGCCGCAGCAAGCCTGTAGACTAAGCGAATTTCCATTTGACTGATTGGATTTACACTGAAATGTCTACTTAAAAATATAACATTTATTCTCTATTTAAATAGAATTAGTTTAACTAGTACTTAGATTTGCTGCATCAGGGAGGGTAAAACTGTTTTTTTTTTGTAAAACGTTAATAGTTAGTAAGCAATAAAATTATTTTCCGAATTTGATCAAAATATGTTCATAAACAAGCAAACTACAACAATTTACTTATTCTCCATAAGAATAACATGGGAATTTTAAATTTAAAATTTTTTGGAATTTTCTCCGTAACCATTAGGCGCATAATAACGCTTCAATATACTAAATTATTAGTTTTTTTAAGCTCTACAAAATGGTTTGGAAAGAAATTGCTAAATTTTATGATTTTTGGGTCAAAAATGGGAAAAACCCATTTTAACCCCATAAAACCCCCCGTAAACCCCCGTTCCCATGGTCCGATCATGCTGGATCGCGAACTCGTTCGAAAAAACGTAGGTTTACACGTTTGTACCAAATTTCATCAAAATCGGATCATTTTTGTTCGAGTTATCGTGCTAACGGACATATATGTATACAGTATACAGGGTGTCCATAAAAAACGTTTCAGGACTTTGGGAAATGGATCCCCATACTAGAAGGAAGAAAAAGGTTTATGGGAAGGTATGTCCGAAAATGCATATTTACCCAGATATCCGCCATTTTTTTTTTATACAAAAATATTTTTATCTGTGAAGTTTTTTATTCGATGATTATGAAACTTGGTAAACATGTTACCATACACAAGACCTATTTTAGAAAAAATAATAAAGTTGTTCCGATTGTAAATTTCAAAATGGCGGCCGTTTGAATTTTTCTAACTTTATTAACTCGAAAACGGCTAATTCTATGAAAAAGTTTCAAGGATACTTTTTTTTAGCATTTTTAATTGCCTATCAAACAATACCAAGATCAAAAGATCGGACAAAAGATAACTGAAATATTACGTTTTTTCTGTAAAAATAAGGCAAAGTTAGTCGGGGAACCCCTAATTTTTGCCTTATTTTTACAGAAAAAACGTAACATTTCAGTTATCTTTTGTCCGATCTTTTTGATCTTGGTATTGTTTAATAGGCAATTAAAAATGCTAAAAAAAGTATTCTTGACATTTTTTCATAGAATTAGCCGTTTTCGAGTTAATAAAGTTAGAAAAATTCAAACGGCCGCCATTTTGAAATTTACAATTGGAACAACTTTATTATTTTTTCTATAATAGGTCTTGTGTATGGTAACATGTTTACCAAGTTTCATAATCATCGAATAAAAAACTTCACAGATAAAAATATTTTTGTATAAAAAACAAAATGGCGGATATCTGGGTAAATATGCATTTTCGGACATACCTTCCCTTAAACTTTTTCTTTCTTCTAGTATGGGGATCCATTTCCCAAAGTCCTGAAACGTTTTTTATGGACACCCTGTATATATATATAAATATATAAATATATAAATATTTAAATATATAAATATATAAATATTTAAATATATATATATAAATATATAAATATATATATTTATATATATGAATTTGAACGGATGGTGTTTTTGGCCTCTAGGGACCTCAAAATGAAAAAAAATCGGTCCCGCGTCCAGGTCTTACCATGAGTACTACGGTAATAGCTTATTCCCTATATGGGAAATTCGCTAAAAGACATTTCTATTAATTTCTTAAAAAGTGACATAAATATAAATTAAAAAATTGAACTTTCGCATAATTCAATAAATATTTTAGCCCTGGCTGGCTGCGGCAGAGCCCTAAAACACTGTAAAAGGTTTAGCTGAATATTTTTTTAGTTTTTAATTTGTTTAAATTATTCTAAAAATGAGCCATATAATTTAAATGGGAGAATCTAAAATAAAACATGAAACAAAAACATCCTTATCGATTACATAATGTTTGAGTTAGAATAGTACTGATCCAGTGTCATTTGATTTTAATGGTGTTTGTGCAACTTTGTTGGAACACCAAACAATGTACAAATAAAGGTTATAAATATTTTCCATAGAGTACACAGCAGGTGAATTCTTACCGTTTTTCTCTAGTTAACTATATAGTTTTACGAGTCATTTTGCAAGAAAACTGTAAGAAAACACCTAAACTAGATTGTGGCCTAATTGTTGTTAATACGGTTACTAAGACGATTGTAACTAATTGTTGTAACTAATGATACCGTATAGCTTCTTGTTATAGCATCGTTAACTTGTGATTAGACGTTTGAGGGCTTAGTTCATCAGTAGACAACGCCATAGAACAAGGTAACAAGGCTAAACATTCCATTAATTAACTATATTACATTATTAAAACACCCAACTATTTGGTTCTTTGTAATATGGATTTTTTTTATAAATTGACAAAACATCTACATATAATAAGGGGTTGAGAAAAACATTGCTGGAGCACTTTTTACTGTATGAAACAAAAACAACTAATAAAACTTACATGGTACGTTATTACTCCCGGTATAATTTTTTGGTCGGTAAATATTAGGAAATTGAACCTTAAAATCCGGACTAAATTGAAATTTTTCACAGTTATTTAACTTTAATAATAATAAGGAAAACTATTGTTAATATGTCAAAAAATCAATTTCCATTTGCCTGACGGGATCATTACTAAAATACTTCTTAAAAATGTAAGATAGATTCCCTATTTAAATACGGTAACTTTAAATTTAACGAGTACTAGGTTTACTGCTCGGGGAGAGTAATAAAGCGTGTATTTATGTTAAATATCATTAGCTTAGTATGAAATAAATAAATTTGCCAAGTTTGATCCAAGTATATCCACAAATAAGCAAACTGTAACAATTTTAATTTCATCCATAAGAACAACATGGAAATCTTAAATTTAATACTAACTTTTATTATTTATCTCAATAACCGTTAGTGATGGAGCAAACCTTCAAATATAAAAAGATGTATTTTTAGACGTCCTTTAACTTTTGCAAATACACAAATTCTCTAATACCAATAGTTTGTGAAATATTGTCAAAAAAGTGAAAATTGGCCGCCATTTTCCAAGATGGTGGCTGAAGCACAGCCGGGATTTATGGGGACTTTTGATATTTTATTTATTTAGGCTTACTTAACAACTGTGCAAAGTTTCCACTTAGTCCGAATTTGTTAGGTAGATTTTCCTAATATTCTTCCACTACAAGTATAATGTGTTTCTTTGTATTTACCTTAACATTTAAATTGCAAAACTAACTGAATTCCTTATAAGTCCTATTACTGAAACGTGTTTCGGAGAAGTTAATCAGAAAGAACGATAGAGAATTATGGTCCTATCACAGGTAAAGTCTAAATGGAATTGTGCTACTTTCCTCTAACAAATCGGAACATCTGGGCAGTAAACGAAGTTAAAAGTTGAGTTGGTGCCAAGTGGTGATTATGGGTCCATTTAGCTCTGCAATTCAGGGAATCCCTCTTTATGTTACTTATGTAACGTACTGTCTAGCTTACTTCTTAAATTTAACCTTAATGTGGTTTACATGGGTGTGAAAGTCCTAGGCGTGAATAGTAGGCAATTAGAGAAAAACAAATTTACCACACTACTTTTGCTATAAATATTTTTTATACTAAAATTTAATAAAGAGACTTTGGTTTCCTTTTTCTTAAAGATTCATCTAAAAAAAAGCAGATGGTTTCGTTTACAAATATCTAAATCTTTCTACTTGATGGTCTTACTAGGGTAGATCGCGAATCCCCGGGCCACCGACTAATTAATTAGCATTACTGATAAGCATATTGTGATAATTGTTGATAATCATTTTGACATTTAGGTAAACATATTAGCATTGGTGATAAACACAATGGTACAAGTGAGAAGCATTGTAATATTGGTGAGAAGCAGTGTTCGGCCCAGAATCTCCCATACATAATTCTAAATAATACGCCCTAGATCTTAAAATTATTTAAATATCTTCAAAATAAATTAGCTGGATCACTTTTACCAAAACTTAAGTTTTTAGCAATGAAAACGGTTCACTAAAGTTACAAGTGAAGTTCGATGTCCTAAGCTATCATAACACAGCTCATTTTGCTAAACAATAAAAAAAGACGGCCTAGTGGCCAGACGACCAAATATCTTGTCGATCTCCTGGTGACCCCCCAAACTAAACCTTGATAAAAATTGACCGATATGAGTTCTCCAACATATTCGAATAGTAAAAATTTCTAGAATACTTACATCAGGTATAGACCTCTTGGAGATGCCTTGCAGCGCAGACTGCAGCAGCCTACCAGCGCTGGGGCGGTTGGGGCGTATCTTGGTCCAGTCGTTGGCCAGAAGGTGGACCATGTACATTCCAGCGAGACCCGCCAGTGCCAGGACTACTAGACGGAGGAAGTGAATGTGAGCTTTGACTACCCCGGTCAACACCAGCAGAAGTATCGTCATACACACCGACCTCGTCAACATTGTTTCTGGTTATCTGAAACGAAAATCCTTGATTTAATATTTCTATTAGATAGTTTATAATGTTATGTTTAATGTGTTTAGGGTGGGGGGGGGCGAGGTGGTCTAGTGTTAGAGCGCGGTAGTTCGGTTCCAGAGGTCTTGGGTTCAAATCCCGCCAAATCACCAATGGATTTTATCTATGTGATAATGCCGCAACCCCTAGGTCTACCCTGAAATAATGTGAAAAAAACAATTCCGGGTTCGTGCATCCTAAGACAAAAAAAAAAAAAAAAAAAAAAAAATCGGGTGGTTTTGATATTTTAATTTTTTGTAAATCAACTGTCCAAACTCTGGTTTTGTTCTAGCAAACCTTGGGACTTCATTTGAAATCAATTTATATACAATAGACTTTTCATTTGATCAATGGACGAATGGCATCTGGGTTTAATTACAAAAAGAGCACTATAACCACTTGAATTCTTTGAATCTTTTTAACTGCTTGCTTGCATCGTTTTATAGGATGAAGTATGGAGATCTAAAATTAAAATAAACGTAATTTTGTCCACTCTTAACAAAATGTTTAAAATTATATTAATTAACGCTAATGCACTCATTTAAAGTTAAATGGTCAGGAAATAGTCCTATACGTTACTTTGCACCATGTAAACTTTCGATCTCTTAAATTCATATTTTTTTATGTATTTAACTTATCTTTATAACTTTCATAAACACCAAGTGAAAAAAGTCTGATCAAAATCTTGACAATAGGGATTCCAAAAAGCACATATGAAAGTTAGGAAATTTATTTCTCACGAGAACACTGATATATTTAAAGTAATGATAAACGGTTTAAAGTTTGTTGGATACAAATTTGCCACTATTAGCCTATCAAACCTATGAATCCTTTGTTTTACAATTTATGATTGAACTTTAGTTTTAATTTTGATTAAAAAACCAATACTCTTTTAAAAAACAATAGAAACAAAAAACAAATACACGCGGGAAACATTTCAATGGCGGAGCTCATTTCAAAACAAGACTTCTCCAAGAGGCAATTTCGACGATTCCCGAGGCGATGTGGTTAGCTTCCCTGTAATTTATACCACTGAAATACACGTATTTTCACGTGGATACCATCAAAACCGAATAATTTCCTTTGACTTATTGTTTTTGGCATCTTTCCTTATTAAATTCAAACATATATTTGCGTAAAAAGAACATCATTTTCTTTGTAACAATATTAAAATTCATAAAATATACTGTGTAAAAAATGTGCATGTTTTGGGTGAATAAGATTATGTTGTTCTTGGATCGGGTTGGGTAAACATTAATGGAGGTTAAAGTTAACGTTTCCACAGGGTTTATAATAGCAGTTTACGCAACGATTGCGTAAATATAGTGTTCAACAACAAGGATTGAACAAGGACACGAGTAAGCGGGTGCCTTAAAAACTTCCACGAGTGTCGTTAACACTATTTACGCGAGTTACTACTTTACCTAAGGCAGTGTTTTAATTACACTAAAATCCTAACTCATAACTTCTAAGAGAGGTAATGTTTTCGTTTATAACCTCTCATTGCCCCTGACAGTGATGCAACGAAACATTGTACCAAACACTAATTGCAACACTCAACAATTAAATTTGCATGAACAGCTGATTAGCTGAAGTTAGAATCATTGCAATTTTACTTCTTCTCTCTCAATCCTTAAACCTTATTGGTCCGTTACCCAGTAAATGTATGCTGTTATGAAAGTAAACAATGCTGTTATGTGAAACTTTTCAATTCTAAGAACTGAACTGAAACGGCTACTTAAAAAAAGGTCGTAGATAAAATGTTTAACAATATGGTATCGTCAGAGATGCAGCTGGTTATTGGTATCATCAGCTGGTTATTGGTATCATCAGATGGTTATTGGTATCATCAGCTGGTTATTGGTATTATCAGATGGTTATTGGTATCATCAGCTAGTTATTGGTATCATCAGATGGTTATTGGTATCATCAGATGGTTATTGGTATCATCAGCTGGTTATTGGTATCATCAGATGGTTATTGGTATCATCAACTGGTTAGTTAATACAACATTTTATGAATCAAATATCACTAATCCCCACAACATTCAGAGGGTTAAAGTGTGTGTCATTTGTCACTCTAAGTTAGAATGAGGTTCCGTCCTAATCATTCCCTCGTGCATGTGTACTATAGTAAACCGTTCCATCCAAACATTAGCTACATTAAATCTGTTTGTGTAAAATATTATTCAAACATGAAAATTGCTTTCGCAAAGGAAAAGGAAAAGCCCGTCCTCTCCTGCTGTTAAAATGAAGGTTAATTAAAACGAGTCTCAAACACATGAACATGAAACTCATTACATCATGGAGTATAATAAATATTTCACAATTTTTTTAATTATAGCTAACTATTTTGAAGATATACTACCTAATTGAAGGAAATTAATAAATTGCATTGTTAACGGAGTACCATTGTTATTAAATAATATTTTTAATGGTACGATGATTTTTTTTAATAACGTAGTTTTCAACAAACTGTCAATCTACGGGACAGATTGAAAAACGACAGTACTTTAAACCGTATTATCTTCTTATTTAATTCATTTATCATTATTTATTTATTTATTTTATTTATATTTATTTATCAGTGTAATCTTCATTTATTTATCTTTAATCATGTAATTTGACTGATGAGTTTGTGGTGGTGTTTTCAGCGTCAACCCCGTCGTCACTAATAGACTGATAGAAGTTTCGCCCTTACGGTGAATTGGCTAGGCTTTGTAAGAAAATTGTATGACTGATATTTGTTCCAGCGTTTGTAACTATTAAAGGTTTTAGGCGTTTAAAATGTATTCATGTAATTAATACCCCCGCTGCAGTAAACCTGCAGACTAAGCGAATTTCAACTTGTCTGATTACATTATTACTAAAATATTTCCATGAATAATAGATATTTATTCCCTATTTAAATAACATTAGATTTAACGAGTGCTTATAGGTTTGCTGCTACGGGGAAGGTAAAAAGTGTTTTTTACCATACGTCAATAGTATAGGATGAGATAAATAAATTTGCCAAATTTTATCAACATATATCCATAAACAAGTAAACTAAAACAGTTTTCATTTTCTCCATAAGAATAACATGCGAATTTAAAATTACACTATTTTTTAATTTTCTCCGTGACCGTTAGGCATACAACAGTGCTTCAATATACTACATTATTTATTTTTTTAAGCTGTACAAAACGGTTTAAAAAGAAATTGCGAAACTTTTTGTTTTTAGGGTAAATAATGGGAAAATCCCATTTTTACCCCATAAAACCCCCCATAAACCCCCGTTTCCATGGTCCAATTATGCTGGTTCGCGAACTCGGTCTAATAAACGTAGGTTTACACGTTTGTATTAAATTTTATCAAAATTCCATCATTTTTGCTCGAGTAATTTTTGCGCTAACGGACATATACAGGGTGATTGATATAAGTGTGCCAGCCGTTTCATACTAAAACTATAAGAGATATCAAAAAAAGTTAAAAGGTAAGTGCCTTGGATTTTTTATTTTAAAAATTGTTTAGTCAAGTCAAAAAAATTATTTTAGCCGCCATTTTTCCAATATGGACGCCAACTTAGATTTTTCTTACAGAACACCCTGTATTTTATGATGTATTCCGGTATAAAATGCAATTTTAAGACGATTTTATTTTTGGGAATTTTTTTTATAAACCTAACCGTTTCAAAGATAATAATGTTTAAAGTTTTAAAAAATTAGGCATAAGAAAGAGTTTTGATAAAGGCCTAAGCAAGCATGCCAGCTGTTTTATTCAAAAACTATTCAAAATTTCACAACTTTAACCATTATTATCTTTGAAACGGTTAGGTTTATGAAAAAAATCACAAGAATAAAATCGTCTTAAAACTACATTCTCTACCGGAATACATCATTAAATACAGGGTGTTCCATAAGAAAAATCAAAGTTGGCGGCCATATTGGAAAAATGGCGGCTAATTTTTTTATCGACTTGACTACTATTTTTAAAATAAAAAATCTAAGGCACTTACCATTTAACTTTTTTTATATCTCTTATGGTTTTCGAATAAAACGGCTGGCACACTTATATCAATCATCCTGTAGGGTGAGTTTCTACTGACCGTGTTAACTTCGCCAGTGGGTTCTACTCACTAAAAGGAACAAAAAAGTTCCTATAAACCCATGTCCGATTTTCGACCGTTTAGCTGTTTTGGGGGATTTTGTGTTTTTCTTATTTTATTAGACCTTGCTCCACAATTTATGTAATAAAAACTTAACCAATTACTTTAGAGAGTTGTAGTTAAAATCATTGGAAAGAACATTAAATTTGCTATAAATCAAAGGTTTCATTCAACAATTATACCATTACATAGTCCATGTTATAACCAAAATAAAGTAAAAATGTCATTAAATTAATTAATTACGATAATTTTCATGGACCTCCTTTGATACATAAACCTGCATTTATGCAATGTTGAAATGCATAAAAAACTTGGCATTTTAATAATCTTTCAAATGATATGCTATTCAATACTATTATTGATATAAACCAGTGAGAAATTACTAATAAACTACAATAAAACACGGTTTACAGATTTTGTTTTTGCACAGTTTTACTGTTAATAATAATTACTGTATACTCCATGATGTATTTTATTGAACTATCTGATAAAATTTGTACATTATTTTAACTTTTAAATATTTATTAAAATTATCTGAATTAATAAAATGTATAAACTCAAGGTTTTTCACATTTTCAAAGATGTAGTGTGTTTGATTCTTAAATGCTGTGTAATTAGTTTTACCTTGTGCTTGATTAAGTCAGCTTTTATTGATTTGTCATCTATAGCTAGATAACTCAGCTGCTTGAACATACCTTGTTGAGTAATTTGCTGTTTTAACTTTATATTTCCAAGTCAATTAAGTGTTTTTCAACATTTATTAAAATATGGAGCCTTTTACCAATCAAGATTATGCCAACATGATGAATACAGTA